CACGGGGCTGGGCGAGGGAGCTGTTCCTAGATGCTGAGCCTGAGAGAGCCTGCGGGTTCCCACTTATAAATAACTGGCTGCACATGGGCCAATTTTATTTCCCTCGAAATTGCCCTGCTCACATGGGGGATGCTTTAGCAATGAGGCTGATTTATGGAGTATTAAAGCAATCATTGCAATCTGCCTTGTGGGGTCAAGCTGGGTTTGGAATCCCAAATTGCTTTCCAATGTTGAGCTTGTTGTTTAGATTGATGTAGCACAGGTTCTGTAAGATCTGCTCTATGCGTCAGTCGGGGCCAGGGCTCAGAGCTCAGAGCAGGAGCAACGCTCAGGGCCAGCAGCAGTGTCCCAGATATGCTCAGGGTGGTGAGAGGAGGCCAGTGGCAGGCGAGCCTGTGCCTTCTAAGTGGGAGCACCACTGCTCTGGCACTGAGATTCTCCGTTTCCTGTATCCTTTGGTCCCCGGTCGTCTGCCCCAAGGGCATGGTTGATGATGGGCAGCAGGTCAAGTGGAAGCAGGTTCTTCTCATCCGGGCCCAGCCCTGCGTTTAGTGGTGAGATGTCGTGGACATGGTTAGCTGCCATGCCGTTGGCCTCTTGCTTACAAAGGAACACCAGACGCTGTGCACCCTCGGCCACACCCAGGGCTGGTTCCAGATCAGTCCCACGGGGTTTTCAGTGGTGGAGGTTTGCAAGTCTCCCCCCAGGCCCAAGTCTCTCCTCAAGTCTGGAAGCTTTTCTGAAATCTGTTCCGCATCATACCCACTACCGTGAGTCGATTCTAATTCATAGCCGCCCCGTGTAGGGTTTCCTAGGGTCTGAGGCTCTCATTTGTCTGGTAAGAGACAGCCTCATCTTTCTCCTGCAGAGCAGTTGGTAGGTTTGAACTACCAACTCAGATAGTAGGCTGATGTTTTGCAGAGCCGCTGGGGCTCCTTGCTCCGCGTCATACATACGCCCCATATTGGGGGGCAGACCCTGGATGTGGACAAGTGCGTAGGTTGTGGGTTTGGATGGTGCGGTGGGTAAGGTATTTGGTTGCTAACTGTGAGGTTGGAGGCTCAAACCCACCAAGTGCTCCATGGGTGTAAGAAGAGGCTGTCTGCTCCCTTTAACGATTTTAGTTACAGAAGCCCTCGGGAGCAGCGGGACTCCGTCTTGCAGGGTGACTGAACCAAACAGACGGGACGGCAGTGGGTTTGGTGTGCTCTGCTCCCCTCTGGCTTTTCATGACGTCAGCGCTCTCTCGGAAGATGCTCCCCAGATGGCCTGTATCCTAAGGAAGGAGTCCAGTCACGTGAGCCAATGGTGGGCAGTTGGGCTTCTTCCATCTCCACGTGTTGCCAGAAGGACAGAGCTCTGTCCCTGGCCTTGGCCTGCCTCGTCCGAGCTTAAAGGCCGGGCTCTGGAGGCACTTAGGCTTACGCTCAAGTTCACAGAGCACTTTCCAGAAGTTCTGGAGCCAGGTGGCAGCATTAACATCCGAAGGCGTTCA